AGGGAACCCTGGCTGCTTTTGATAAAAGAAATTTCAGATAATGGAAATGAGCCTTTTTAGTGACCTACTTAAAATTGGTATGAATCATGTACAGATTCTTCAGCTTTTGCTGTGTATTACAAGACACATTTTCATTAGCACTTTTATAAATGAAGTCCTTTAACTTAGGTACTCACATTATCAGTCATCCCTTACTTCAAGTAAAAAGTCTGTGTCTTCATTTGATAAATTTATTGTATTATGCAGCATCTTGTAGCTGCTGTTGAAAACTTTGAAGAAAAAAGTACTCTCGTGAAAGTGAAAAGGACCGTTATTGCCCTTTCAAAGTCCAGAATTTGAATGACCACTTAAGCCAATTTTTATTTGAGATGTTGTAGAAAATATCTGCTTGCCGATATCTCACATGCTTGTCTTAATATGAATTATGCTTCATGTTTGAGCAGGGGCATTTTGCCCAAATATCTATTTCGATTTCAGCAAGTCAATGCACACAAACCTTAATTCAAATCCAATTTCCCCCCCCTTTTTTTTTTCTAAAACATCAAATGTTAAGTATCAGCTTGATACTGGTTTCGGAAAGACTGGTCATGAACATAGGTGACAGATCCAATGTAGGGTGGAAATATTTAGACTGGTGAGACTGGGAAGGAAATAAGGCCGAGTATATATACACAGAGATAAAAGCCATTGCTTCCTGCTCTTTAATAAATATTTTTTTCCGAAGTATGGGCTAGATGGGTGTGAAAATCCATTAGGGAAACAGAAACTTTTCGCACTGCTTAGGGGAGGTATCCTTGTTTATATCTTGAGCAGAAGGTCATGCTTTATTTTCAGATTGTGTAGCCAGTATGAAAGTTGCCATTTTCTAGCTTTGCAAAATTCAATCCAATTTGTTCAGAATTTGCATTAAAAAAAAAAATAACGGCCATGTTCCCTTTGTTTTAGAAGTGGGATTAAAGACTTCTTAATGGCTTCTTCAGACACTCAGGAAATGTACTGAAACTTGTGAAATATAAGGTCACAGTGATTATAATACCTTTTTCATTAAATACAAGATTTTTATTTTGGAAACATTTGAACTATAAGAACTTAATACCCCATATTTTGGACACTTGTTTTGCAGCAAAAAAAGTGTGTTTTAATGAAATATACTTATTTTTTAATTTCTAGATAAAAATGCCAAAGATTTTTTCAGTTTGACTAATGCAGTATACTTCCAGCAACATCTTGTATTCTGAGATGATAGAATTTAATTTTTGTTCATTTCTTCAGTTTGTAGACAGCCTCTAAAGCAGTACTTTTAGGAGGAAAAAGTATTGTCAGTAATAGCCCATAGACTTGTCTCTTTGGGGAAGACGTGAGTGTCTTTGGGGAAGAGAAGTCATTAGTTTACTATTATCTATTTATTAATTGTGGCTTATGTCAGGATTTAGATATTAGCAGGTATTGGTCAAGTAAAAGTGAATTTAAGACCAGACAATATATTAATCAAGATTTTTCACACAGCTGGCATTTGAACTTGGACTTCTGAATTGTGTTTGGTTACTTAAATAACAGTTTCTTTTTCATTAGCATCTAGCAGTTGATAGCTCTTGAAAAAGAGCTAGATAAATGTTTTGTGATGCAGAAATCTATAAAAAGCATTTCATTAGAAGACTCTAGTTTTTAGTGGTTTCTTTTTGATTTTAAAATTTTAAAATTATTTTTGAAGTTAGGAGAGCTGTAAAAACTTTTGCTGTAAATAAGTAACAGTTTGCAGATGGGAAAATGTTTAAAGAAAATCATATTTTATTATTAATTAAAACAATTTTTCTAACTGGTTGATGGTTGTTTAAAAACTGCTGTTACTTTTCTTGCTTTCGTGAGTTTCATTGTATGAGATGAAATGACATTTATCTTTTACTGAGAAAATCAGGGAAAATATTGGGGAGATGTATGTAAAACCAGGGAATTTGAATAATATAGTGTAATGATACCTATGTTCAACACGGAGTTTTTCTCTGTCATAGGCTCCAGAGCAGAATGCTTCAGCAGAGAGGGTTGTTGTATAAGGTAGAGGTATATATGTATAAAAGGCATATAGTTTGGTGTTGTAAATTTGGAAATGTCTGTGGCTTGAATACAGAAGAAAAAATATTCTAGTATACTTGCTATGTAGTTTCAGCAAAGAAGCTGTTTTAGCTTCATGTAAATGGTATGATACTAGCTGGGTTTAAGATCTTTTCAAAACAAATCAATTGGGCACTAGTAGAACTGTAATTATATACAAGTAATTTTTTTCTTCCTGTATGTATATGTCTTTCACTGCTCATTTTAAGCTTTTAGTAATCTGTGTCTCTGTCTGACCTAGAGGTAGAGAGAATTTCTTTGATGTAATTGTTTCCATCCTTTCTGTTTTCTACCTTTTTGCCTTTTAGTCAGAAAATGAATGAACTTTGTATAAATGTCTTTAATTCCTCTTGATGGTTTCTGTTGTTTTGGTGGCTGGGACAATACAGGAAAGCTACATTTAAAGTTATTGCAGGGAAAATCAAAACCTAATATTTTCTGATATACAGCTGTGATTTAGGTTTTCTAACAATTTCTGTACTACTGCAGAACCACAGGTAACATAGGTTTCGGTTAAAAAAAAAATTATGTGGTAAAGTTAAATTAGCTAAACTTTAGAAAGAAAGCATTTTCAAGTTCAAAATTGGTGTTTGTGGTTGTTGAGTTCTAGATAAATACTTTAATACTTGAGTAGCTGGTAAACTAAGAAAAACAGCATACACTGATGGAAGATAATTCAATCTAATGTCATCTGATCAAACTTTAACATACTTCAAAAAAATTAAAACTAAGAACTACAACTTGTAATAGTGTTGTTATACCTGTGATAGTGTAAGAAATACAGGCCAAACTAATATAATTGGAATGATGTGACCTCAAGTTATTTTTTCAGCTATCTAATAAAAAATATTATTTCTACCAAGTGTGGCATATTACTATACAGGAACAGTCTTAATCTAAAGGTATAATGGATTTTTTCCCAGCTTCCTTACAAAGATTAAAAGGAGAGGGTGTTTTTCTCCTTCGTAGCAACGCGGTTTCAGAGTGAGATGGTGATTGTTGCCAGACCGCTTGGTTGAGAGATTTCTTGAAGAGCTGGAAAAATAGTAGTAGATTTGCAGGTATTCTTTAGAACATTAGCCGGCTTTCTGGGGCACATTCATTCTAGGTGCCACTGTGAACTATAAACTGGAAATTAATTTCTAGATTTAATATTTTTGCTGAATACCTTTTAAAAAGTATGAGCTTATTTGTCTGTGGATATAGATAAGAGCTGATCAAAGCATTATGGCTTAAGTTTCAAATTGATTAAGTACGTATCTTTGTTTGGAACTTTCTTTTGATGCACAGTGCATACATTTTCATTTGGGTAGGAGAGACGTTAATTCACAACTGTAGCTGGTACTATTGCTATGGAGCTAGTCTTCAACTTTTTGTGGGAAAAGCAACTAAGTTTTCTTTCACTTTTAAAAGAAAACTTCTGCAACCTGTGTTGCAGTAAGCAGGTTTGTTGTCTTCTGGAGAGATCTTAAGTGTTCATTCCTGTTCTTCAGGAGCACAGTGATTTCTGCAATTTCCACTAGAGGTTGCTCAAATGCTAGTGCTAGGAATCAGTTCCCCTCTAGAATTCACTTTTCTTCATCCTCTTTATTTTCCTGTTCTTTGTTGTTGTCTTTTAATATTATTTCAATAGCAAGTACAGTAAAGCAGGTGGTGGGTTTTTTAAGTGGAAAAAACAGTGGTTGATAGGTACCTTACTAAATTATCTTGAGCCCTGCTGTGTTTGTGAATTTCGCAAATTAGTAAGTGAGCAATCATTCTGAAAAGCAAGTTAGCATAATACAGACATTTTCATTTTAATGCACTCAGAAAAGTCAATTTCTTAAGCAAAAAGGGACCACCAGTCATAATTGCAGTCATGATATTGCCTTTTGAATACATCTGGATTTTGTGAGAGGAAGTTGAGTATGTGGTAAGCAATGCATGTTCCACATCACAACCTGTAGAACTGAAGACTTTTTTTTCCTCAAACTTGTTTCCACATTAATTGTCAACTGCCTTTCCCCCCCCCACTTTATTTCTTCCCCCCAGGTGATCTGTATACCTGATAAATAATACCTGTATACCTGATCTGGTAAATAATTTAAGGAAATCATTGCTGATGATATGATTCATGTTTCCCTTTCTGACTGTTGTGGAGCAGTACCTTACTTATTAGGGACTAAAAAATCTTATGAAGTAATTGGAGCTGAACATACAAATATGCATGCTAGGAAATTTGTTTATGAGGTCTTAACTTTTGCTGTTCTAGGGGGACCACTAGGATAGCAATTTCTAATTGAGTAATGCCTAAGAAAGTTGAAATTTTGTATACTCCAAGGTAGGCTCCAAGTAGAATGGCCAAACCAGAATTGAAGATTTGACTGATGCCTTCAGCTTGCTGTTTTCCTTCTTTTGAGCATCCAAAACACATTGACTTTAAATCACTTTTTTCTACCTTGAACTTAATAGTTACTGTCTTGCTTTATGAAGATTGCTTCTGTCTATTACAGGCAAAGGTGAAACACAGCCATTTGCCAAAACTCAGAGTTGCTTTAGGTTTTCTGTGATTTCATTCCATCATCTGTGTAGTTCTTTGCATCAACAATCAAGTTCATACACTGCAACGGATTAGCGTATCTGTCTCTGAACTGCAAAATTCCTTCTATTCTTTGGTTGCTATTTTGTTCGTAAAAATGTGATTTATCCTTCCTCCTGTAATTTACCTTCCCCCTGGTATAGGAGAAGTCCTGGCAAAAGGGTGAATAATAGTCCTGTATTCACACAGCTCCATCCCAGAGTGACTAGCTGGTTAGTTTAGGAAAATAGTTTTTCCACTTTGGGATCCTGAGGAGGCACATGGAGTTCAGCATTAACCACCTGCAGGGAGAGCGATCCCTTGATAGAAGATTCACATGGGATAATTCAGGTCAGAAGGGACCTCAGACGTTCTTCAGTCCAAATTTCTACTCGAAACAGGGTGAGCTATGAGATAAGATCAGGTTTCTCAGGGCTTTTCATAGGCATGATCTCTTTTAGGTTGAGACTGAGCAATTACGGTTAAAGAGGAGATTAAGAGGTTTTGCATGGTTTTAAGTGCACGGGTATGTAAAATAGCTAAATCTAGTGATTTGCCTATCGGTAAAGTGTCTGTCTTCAGAGTAAACTTTTGAAGTCTGTGTTCGTTTATATTATCACAAGGTCATGTAAGAGTTAAAATTCTCCCAGTATGCTTTACTTTTGCTTCATTTGAATAATTTAAGATTAGTACCGGTCTTGGTCAGCACAGCTTTGTTCCTCAGATTGGTACCAGGCAGGAAGGGGTAAACTGACAGTGTGCCCAAGAAGCAAAATTAAATTATGGGCACTGGATGTTTTTTCCCCGAAGTATAGACCACAAGCCTGTGAGACCAAGATGCTGGGGCAAATATAGTGGTTCAGCGTCTTACTGCAAAGGGAACTTCAGATAGGTCTCCCTTAATGTGGCTCTGCTGTCACTCTGCTATGTGCTATGGACTGAGATTTGTTTATCTTTCTGAGCCATTTATATATGTGTAATTATTACCATGTTAATTATGTACCTTTATGAATTCCTGTTTCTGTTCAGGTGAGTTGTCCATCTATTGATACAATTTGATATTCATATAAGTATTTCTTATAGCCCAGCTAGAGGCAAACTTTGAGGAAATGGAGAATCATCTATTGTGTCTTGAGGACCTATGTGAACAGTGTGAGTTGGAAAGATACAAATGTATGCAGACATTACAGCTGGAAAACTACAAGAAAACAAAAAGGTAAATAAAACAATTGCTATAAATATAAATTAACATAAAATATAACCTTTTGTGATTATTTTTTCCCTGCATATAATATAATACCTTTTATTTTCATCTTTTAAAGAAATAGTAATCTTTGACAGGAAGCTGCAAATCTGTAATAGATTCATTGAATGTCGGTCTAAGTCTTGGTGATGAACAAAGAGTGTGTGTGTTTGGAAAATTATCACTACGTTGTTAAGATGAAGTCATGCTTATTATTCTCTACAAACAATTGGAGTGAGGGCTATTGTTAATAAGCACTGATAAATTGTTGTTTCTTTTAATCCCTTGCCCTGTTTTTTTAATTTCTTTTTTTCCCATGTATTGTACCTGTAAAGTTAGGAACTGTATTTTCCTCTACCTTCTTTTCAGTTCTCTCCTATCCTGTACTACGAGTACCTTTCACTCTGTATTATAGGTATTGATCTCCTGCCATTCTCTTACTTGCAAAGACAGGGCATTACTACTTGGAATCAAAGTTCAACTTGTAGTAGTATGTGTGAAAAGTCAGAACCTCCAACTCTTGAGCTTCATGTTTACCTAAAAGATAAAGTAGCAAGAGATAAATGTTAAAAGCTTAAATAACTTAAACTGTTGACTTTCTTGTTTTTGTTACTGACAGTGCCAAAAATAACCTTACTGAAGGAGGTAAGAAAAGCAGTATGAAGTCCATTATATAAATGAGGAAATGAGGGGCTAAATTGAAGCAGTTTGTCAAAGACAGTCTCTGACAGGCATGTGTTAGGGAGTGGCGGGTAGATGCAGATGCTGTCAGACCTGGAGCCAGCACTGACATGAGGGTAACCAGGTTACGTGATCTGTCCAACCAGATGTCCTTCTGTTAGCCAGGGGAAGCACCCTGGTACCCTCCTCGCTGCTCGTGATTGCGGAAGCAAGTTTGACTCATGCGGTATGGTCAGAACAACTAGTTTGGTTTATGGTCCTAGTTAGGATGTGGTGATCAAGGGCAGGGCTGTGCCAGACAGCAGTGGTCGCATTTGGCATAGCTTATCCATTTTCCTCTTTCTTGACCCTCCTTTTGCCATCCTTGTAACTATTTTTTTTTTTTTTTAAATCCCAGTCTCCTCCCAAATAAACAATCCACCCCTAATTACTTTTTCCCTGTTGGTCCTGGTTTTGCTACATCTGTACTCAAATTTGGTATTTCTGATACCGTTATCTAGGGAATGTTGGCCTTTTATGGTGTTACAGATACGGTTACCGAAGTACTACTGGTGTTGCAAGTTCTGCCTCCCAGAAGGTCACCCTTCAATTTTCTGTGAAGTTTGACTGTTTCTCACCTAACTCCCCTTTACCTAATACTTTAAAGGTCACCCTTCAATTTTCTGTGAACTTTGACTGTTTCTCACCTAACTCCCCTTTAACCATCTGTGAAATCCAGCTGTCCCTCATGGTGCTATCTGTAGCTTTTGTCAGCATCTTACTATGTTATCTGTCACATCTAGCAATTTCTCATGTGATGTCCTTTAGTTTTTCACATCCTGTTCAGTGAGCTTAACCTCAGGCCAGGGCAGTGGTCTTGTCATTTTCCTGCAACCTGGGTTTTCTCTTTCCCAAGCCAGGGCAACACCATTTTGTCTCTCTCTGGGAAGAGCCAACAGTAGTCAGTATGGCTGAATATTCACTTGTTTTGACCTATTTAAGTAATTAAATATTTAATAGTAATAAGTTCAAATTCTAAATATGTGCTATTTAACCAAATAACACACAAATTTAAAATGTGCATAAACCAACAGATTTGTACCCCCTAAAATATAGTAATCTTTCTGAAGTTTTCTGAGTTTTGTTTGTTCTCTCTGCTGTCCTCGCTCCTTCTCCCCCTCCCCTAGCCTTTGCTTTCAACATCAAAATAAAGTGTTAAACTGTTGCCTACTCTGCTTAGCAGCATCTAATCTGTTTTATAAATAGAATGCTAAGCAAACTACTTAACGTAATTATAAGCTGATTACATTTGGTCAGATCTAGACAAAACAGGAAAAATGCAGGTAATTTCTGGTTGATGATTACCACTGTATTTATTTAGGTAAGAAATTAACTGCTAGCTCATTACTAGAAGGACACTTGCCAATGTAGGTACTTGAAGAACGAACAGCCAGTTAACTTAATGTGAGTGTGATTTGTTTTGTATGTTTGGAACTCATATCCTGTCTTCCTGTCTTTAGTGTTTGGGGCTTTTACTGTGATACGAGGTACTGAAAGAATCAAGTGAGGGTTCAGGAGTCTATGCTCTCTCTTTAACACAAGAATTATTTTTAGGGAGTGAGTGGTTTTGTGTAAAAAAAAAAAGTATTTCCTGTGTTTTGACAATATAGGGATGAAAACTGAGATGAACACAAACTCTAGAAACTGTGGTTATTTTAAGCATGTAACAAAATAATTTTATTATAAAGTCACTGTAGAGCTTAGGCTAGAAGTCTTCAAGTCTTTTGAAAAATCTTCCTTCATGAAAGATTTAGAAGAAAGTGCTTTAGGTCAACATTAAACCTTTGAAATGCAGCTTATGGTAACTATGGGAACTGATTTTCAGAAATAGGTCTCCCTATTAAATAGATTAACTTTACTTCCGTTCAGAGAGATCAATTTTTCCCTTTTGTCATTGTGTTGAGTACTAGTTTCAAAGTACATCAATCCAAGGTGTTTTCCACAATATATTTGGAAGCCTGGTGTTTGGAGGGATTGATTGTTTTTCTGTGTGCTTATCTCTGGATTTTTAATATTCTCCTTTTTGTTTTTACATCCATTGATCAGGGTGCCAGTATTGTTGTATGAAGTCTAGATTCCACCCTTGTTTTCTCTAGTTAGTCTTGCTGCAATTGTTTGCATGTATGTTAGGTTTAAACCATGCCATTTTGTTTCCTGTCCTTTTCTCAATCAAGCACAATTCTTCTTCCCTTCCCTTCATCCTCCTGCTGAAGATGTACTGTTTCTGACTGCAGAAAACTCCGTGTATCCCTCCAGTCTCCTATGGCAGTTCTTGCATTCCCAAGGCAGTGCACTGTGTCCTTTAGGAAGCACTGTCAGAAGCTCACTTCTGTGCCAATTTCTGTGTGCACCGAAGTGCAGGCTTATGGCATAAGATAAAATGTTTCTGTCCTGAAGCTGTACTTCCTATGAAGCTCTTAGTACCATTTGTATCCATTTCAGACAGATCACTGTTTTTTGAAAAACAGAAACTCCTGGTTATCTTATCAATTAAAAGGAGCTGTCCAACTGCAACGTTTTGTAGGAATACACTGGAGATAGCAAAGCGTCCTTGTTGCTGGATATGAGTGAATACATTTTACTGTGTGTCATTTGACTTTAAACATAGTTGTCTGAATTTTAATTTTTTTAGGATGTCTTGTTTAAGAATGCTTTCTGTTTTTCAGTACTTGTCTGCTTTGAGAACAGACATAGAAGGAAAATGAATGAAGAAATCTAAAATCCTGAGTCTGAAGTATACCCTGATGCTAGGGTATACTTCAACAGATGAATGTTTAGTAATATTGCACACATTAGTGGGACCAACTTTTTTCCTTTCTGGTGAGATTTAAAGAAATGCTTTACCTGAAGAGAAAATATGTTCTTAGAATGTATATTTATTCCTAATTTTTGTATTTTAAAGGTTTATTTGTTGTCAAATAATGTGTAACCCCATGCTTTGATAATTAGTGCAGTAGATGAGGAGTTGGACAGATTGTCATAATTCTTGTTAGATGCATTGCCATGCCATGATGGTGGTTTTATGCTTTTGGAGAAGAATGTTTGATTCACTTTCTCATTCAGAAGGGTATAAAATTTACGGCAATTGCATTGTGTAGATTAGAGGCGTGTATGTGAGAAAATGTCTTAATCAGTTACCACTGTTAAGTTTATTTCTTCTGTATGGTCTTCTGTTGGTTTTATCCCTCTTTCTAGTGGTTTGGGAACATAAGAGACAGTAAGGATTGTTGCAGTTAGATACAGTGGCTTACGTTAGGCCTGACCAACATAAACATTCAAAAAGTAAATACAAAAAAACTTCTTTAGACAATTCAGACTAGTCTGCTTTTTGAAAAAGTTCCTTCTAACTTGGGCCAATTAATGGTTATTTACTCACTAACATACAAAAATATTTTGGGTTTGTTTTTTTTTTTTTGCTATGTTTTGCTTTCAAATATTATATCCTGCAGTATCACTGTAAAAAGCTGCCATTTTTTCTGTGATCTTGTTTAGCCTAAATTAATTATTTTTTTTACCAAGGTCAAAAAAGAGAAAATGGAATGGGTAATACACTGCCACACAAAATCGTGTTGCCTAAAAGAAGACTTCTATGTCTGTAGATCTTGTTTAGATCCCACAGGTTTCCCCAAGTGATAAGCTAGAACAGTACTCTGTACAGTACATCATCTTCAGTGATGACTCACTCCCATTTGGCAGTGATAAATTTAAATTGTACCTTCATAACCCTTTTAAGCTTTACATGTAATTTATCAAATTAACTTTTTATACGTAAAAAATATACCATTCTTGCAAATGTTTCAAACAAGTATATTTTTTCCTTCCAACATTAAATGTACTATGAATTATTTCTAAGACTCTAGCTACACGTTTCATAGTTCTTGTGAAAATTTTCATCAAAGTAAGGTTTCATGCCATACTCTTCTTGATCAGTCTTCTGGTGGTATAGATTTTCAGCTGCTATACCTCTGTGTACCTGGGTACATAAGTAATGATTTTGCAAGGGTGGATGCAGAACTTTTATTATCTTCAGGACACTTTCATGGTGGACTTGCAGTGGATGACTGGCTTTGAGTTTTCAGTAGGCATTAATTGTATGACTATAAGTTTCTGTGCTCAAAGCAGAGTTCACATTGCAGAGATCTTTTCCATCCTGTTGTTCATGAGTTTGCATACAGCACAATCAGTAGCAAGTGTTTTCACGGTGATCACCGTGCTCCCAAGTATTTGAAAACATTGGGCAAGACTGAATACAT